AGTTGGACAAGTGCACCACAAAACGTCATAATGTCACCTGACCGATATTGTCTTAGCATTTCGCCCGAACAGTCTATTAATGTTACTTTCAGTAAGGTTTGTTTTTTATTATTGTCCCAGGTGCGTTGTTTGTGAGTATTGGCACTCAATTCGTCTCCCTCAAAAAGTGTGATCGCACCAATTATCCATAGACAGACTACTGTACAGCACATTTAGTAATGTTAATGTTAACAATTCGTTTATCTGTCTGATTTTGAAAACTTTGCCAATCTGAAAATTTATTCCCTAGGTGTTTGTTGTTTCCATTTTAAAAAAATTGATATAATTTGCTTCCTTGTAACAAATAGGGAGTTCACAGGTTCCTCACCCATGTTTCCCTCAAATAAACCGCAAATGAATTTGAAAATGAGGGCGCGAGCATTTTCCTTCTAGCCCTGGTGGCTTGTTCGGGTAGAGAAAAAAATTGAGCACGCCCACAACAGTACGAAGTGGTCGCTTGTACCTAGGGGAGGTAGAGGTGGCACCGGACATTGGACCTCTAAACAAGCATTCCACGCGCAAATCATGCACGTCGGACATCACCGGATTCAATGCGTCAGCCTGACAACCTCGACCAATCCCTCATCGAACGCACCTGATCCAACGTCCACGACGCCCACCATGGCGGCCGTCAAAACCACTGATGCTACGCATCCCCATGCCCCGTCATCCTCAAACAACATCATCTCCAGTATCCCCGCCACAATCCCCGCGGCGAAGACGACGACCATCTCCATATGCGTACTCGCAGTAAGTCTTGGCTTCTGTATTTCTATCACTTCACACGTAAGATAGGGCGTCATGAATGCCAATACAGAATCTCGATATGCCGATGTGCGACAAGACATAAGTCGGAAGCCGTGGCGCATCGGGCGTGAAGACTTCGCAGAAAAAAAGATCAGAATGCAAGCGTTGGACTGCGCCATCCAGAATTAGACCAGCAAATTGCTTGACCATTTTAAAATGTCGTCGTATGATAGTATCGACTAAGATAGTATCGACATAAGAAACACTGGCGGCAGAAGGGAGCATTCGGTGGACCCGTTTTAAAATTAACTGATATTTTTGAGCAAAGCTGGGAAAATGACAGGAGAGCAATATATAATAAGAGGCAGGATGCGGGCATCTATGAATCGCCTTATTACGGACTGAGGTGTGTGGTAGGAATGTAAACAAAGAATTTATTAAATAGGGTCTCAATATGGAAGGAAAATGAAAGATTTGATGACAAACTAACGCCAAGGTACCTGAAAGAGGTCGCCTCGTTAGGAAGGGTGTTAGGGGAGTCAGGACTAGGAGATGGCTGCAGTTGGAAAATACACTGGACTGATTTTTGGTTGTTCATTAAGAGACCATTTTCCTCCGACAATACTAGGACATAGTCAAGGCCATCCTTCAGAGATTGGAGATGTGGCCGGTTTTTAAGAGGGTGTCTTACAGCCACATCATCAGCATGCTTACAGTCGTTAGGGAGTCTTAGGTCATCGGTGTGGAGGGAGTAAAGGTGAGTGGATAGAATGGGACCTCGAAGAACTCCTCAGTCATTGGGAAGGACCGTAGATTCCCGCTTGCCAGATTGGACAAATTGAGTGTGGGAAGTAAAATAATCGCTAAGCCAAGAGACGACCCAGCCTAGAGAGCCGCACGCAATGTTTTGTTAAGGAGGAGAGGGCGCGGGACGGTAGTGAAAACGGAGGAGTAGTCAGGAAAAGCAACCCTTACCTAATTCTCTTAGGGCAGAGTGGACCACAAGAGCAACAGCATCCACAGTGCTGCGTTTGGCTTTATATGCAAATTGTATCGGATCGAAAAGTCTGGAAGTGTATGGCCGTATTATATCTAGGGCAACTATTTCAGCGAACTTTAGTATTGCGGAAGAGCCGGCAACTGGACGAAAAGAGTAGGGACCAAAAGTAGCGGTTTTTTTTAGGGATGGGAGTGGTTCTCACTGTACGCCAGGCGTCAGGATCAGGGCAAGGGAATTGGCCAACGCCAGTATTACGGTTGCGATTGCGCTAGATTCCAAGGGGAGGAACAGGGGAATCGGTATCCTCTCTGAAACTAGCACTTGGCCATCTGTAACGGGGATGAGGGCGGGGGGAGGGGGAGGGGTGTGCCTATTCCCGTGTCCCAACTCTCAAAAGTACAGATTTGGTCTGAAATGTAGTGCCTATCGTCGACAGTGCCCTTGGCGTCAACCTCCCTGCGTATCAGAAGGCATCTTGCTGGTCACTGCTGAGCATGCGCACGAGTACGCCCTCATCACTGTTGAAGCAACGGAAGTTCTAGGAATTCAATGCTAACTTTGGCACCGCCAATTCCGATTCGCGTGAAATGCTTCCACAGATGTATGGCCGAAAGGCGTCCTACATAACCAGCATGCCTGGTCGCCGAAACCCTTTGTCCGATAGGTATTACATGTCTGCATATACGATTCGTTTCATAAGGAGAAATTAATGGAGCTTGAGGCGCGTGCTTCAGACTGAATAGAAGCGATGGTCGAATTATTTGTGAAAGCGAATAAATGTCTTTTGTGCCACAATAGTATTTGCCTGATAAGTCGAGCTCTTCCATTTCTAAGTAGAACTGTTTAACCTAGACGCAAATGAGCATCTGTTTGCACCCAATCTCTTTTGAGTACTTTTCACTCAATCTGCTCGTCACTAGCTGCCTTCTTGAGGAAACGAAACTGACAGTAGAAACGAACCCTGCGCCTGCCGCCTCCTCATCAAGCTAAATTCCATACAGCATCCAAAATGAATTTCAGCGTTCACTAAAATTCATTAATCAAATAAAAGGACTTCGCTCAGACTAAAACCTCATGTTAGTCGAATGCGTGCGACGCACATGACTTGGCCCAGACTTGGCGACAGCCCCACGCGCCAACCGACGTGACACGGTCACGTGCTGATCGATTGCCGGCGGACAAAGGTCATTCACACACGCACGCACACGCGCATGTGCGCACTCGAGGCACTTGCGTCGGGGCCATCAGCCTCGACGACGGGTGCCCGACACGCCGAAACAATTGCTGGTCCTTACTCCTTGGCGCAGATGGTGGTGGGTCCTGACAGACAGGTGCTCCTCGTAGGCACCAAATAATTGATCTATGTGGTCACCTCTGTGGCCAATCGGAAAGGAAGGCGAAGGTGAGTCGTTGTTGTTATCGACCTTGAACGAAGTCCTCCCATGTCTGCGGGTGGACTTTCAGGCACATCAGAAGGACGCCTGATGTTTGTGGATAAAGGGGCTAGTGAACACCATCAAGTCTATTCCATTCAGGAGTTGGCCAAACGAAACTGTCTTGCCACAGCAAATGTTCTCCGACTAACCCTATGTCGCCATTCTTGGGATATTTCGTCCGGTTTTTTGAGTGTCACAGTCCAAGAGTTGAGTGTTGATTTAATTCAGGTCTGAGAACCGCCCCCACATCAAAAGATGGTTTTCGTGTCATCCAGCTTGACAGAATGTGTGTAGGTCTGACCCTCATGTCTTCCTCTTCTTCTCCATGGTACGGCTGCGATCATGCCTGATCTAGTCGGCATCATCGAGGCCTTCTCTGCTTGTCAGTCGCTCTTATATAACGTCATTCGTTCTTTCGCCTGTGTTAGAGAGAGAACGACAGAGCGAGCGCGATAGATCTCATTTTGTAAGTGTCATTCTAAAATTTTCAGCAAATAGGCCTCCATCCACAGTGGATAAAAATGGGGCATGCAAAGCAGATACAGCTCGTGACCGGTCTCATGAAATGTTGGTCGAAATTCTGAATGGAGATTTCGGTTACGAAGGATTACTTAAGTGGGGTTGTAACATTGATTATCATACGGCATAAAGCTGTAGTATTTCGGACTCGTCAGGATGTCGCCTTTTGAATGCACTCATTTTCGACCTCATGCAGAAACCACAATCTGTAAAAATGATCACTTATTCTGCATGCATTTTTCACATTAATTTTCGTCTGTCCCCATAAATTCAAATATATTTTGTAGAAGAAATGCACAAAAATTTCCATCATTTACACGTTTGGTCGGTAACCACATTGTGCTCACATTTTATACCCGAAAGTGTGTATTTTAGTTTTGAAAATGTTTCCCAATTCCCGAATCATTTCGAGCCTGATCTGCCACTGCATTGGCGCTTAGCGATTGCAGTCTACAAGGTGTACGCTTTCCGTGTAAGGAAAATCACATACTCCTCTATGCCTTTAAGAAGATACTATATGGATTTCATGAAATTCTGCAATGGATGTGGACTATGTTGTACATTTCATGAGGAGCACTGGAAAACTGGTATGTGCCATGCTGTATGTATGGACATCGCACGGTCTTAGAAATCTCGTACTTCAAATGTTTGGTAAAATCGAAGGATAAATTTGCTTGGGGTATAAAATGTAAAGAGTAAGTGACTTTCTACCAAACGCGTAAAATGAAGTTTATTTTGTGCGTTTTATATATAATATATTAGGTCCGCGATACTTGATGTGAAAAATTCATACTAAATAAGTAGTCATCTATCAATGAGGGTAGATTCTTCTGAAGACTGAAAAAGAAGTGCTTTCAAAAGGCGACCTTCCGGCGAGTCCAAAGTACAATAGCGTTATGCCGAATGATAATCAATTTTTGTGCCTTTTCTATATAATGTATTTAAATTTAATTTGTCAGCGAAAATTAATGTGAAAAATTCATGTTAAATAAGTAGTCATTTTTCAACCAGCGTGGTGTCTTCAGAAGATTGAAAAGAAGAGCATTCCAAACTAAAATAAAACTGGCACACTTAAAAGTGCCATGACGAACTAGGAGTGGTAGCTTGACGGGGCACCTCGGTACTTCCCAGGACGGAAGGTCAGGCTGAAAGGGCTGTTTCTTGATGTGTCCTTTCAGGTTTTCACAGTAGTCAGAGGTAAATTTGAACTAGTTTGGTTGCATTCACCGCGCTGTGTGCGTGTGTGTGAGTACAGGTAATCAAATCATGAGGCCAGGCAACTGGCCATTTGACAGTGTCCACAATATGCGCATTCTAGAACAAATAAGCAAATGCGCCACCAGCAGAGTGAGCCACTCAAAATGTGACTGACCGTCCATATTCAACTCCGATGCTGCTCGGATGGCTGACAGGGCGCCCTCTGACCAGCCGATGCAGGAGAAGGGCAGATGACCCAGCTGGCGCATCAAATTCACGCCAACTCTGGCATCCTGCAGCAGAACCTCGGGATCACTCCAATCGCGGACGGGGGGAGTGCTGAAACCGCAGCCCGGCGGATCAAAGGCTATCGCGGTAAACCTAAAGCGGGGAGGGGGGGAAGGCGGACAGAAGTACATTTGAGAGGTGGTGATTGCTCATAACAGACGGTACGACTACTCTACACATGTGTTTGTGTGTCCTCCAAACGAGCCACGCGTTAGATGCGCTGGACCAACACGGGAGCCATATTGGATTCTGGCAGGCGTTATCGGATCGCACACTATAACAAATGCCAACACTTTCGGGGTGCGTTGGCAGACCCTGTTGTCGGCAGTCGTCGCACAACTGGACCACTGCCGTCACCCCATTGTTTTGTGGTCAAAATCCTGGTCATTTGTTTTGTGGACCTGGGGGTGCGGAGTGAAGCGCCAAGGTGAGGATCCGTCCAAGCCATCCACCTGCGGCCTCCCTCGTCTCCGGTCTTATTCACTTCGTCTTGACACCGGGCTCATGTGGGGGAGGAGGAGAGAGTGTAGGTAGATGCTACGGAAGTCTACTGGCACTATAAACCCCTGCGCAAGTCACCGTCCCTGCTCCCACCGCTGCTGCAGCTGTGGGGCACGCGGTGGACATCGTCCAAATCGACGGTCGAACTGTCGTGTGTGTGTGTGTGTTTGTTTGTGTGTGACTGATAATTACTCGCTAACCGACACCAATGCATGCACCCTATGTCTATATTAATCAAAGATAATGGCAGATTGCTTAGAAATATGGATTTGTTGAGAAAAGCAGAAAATTCCAAAAAAGTCAAAGATGATTGCAATCGTGTAAAATCCAGTTCTAGATATACGGAATGTCTGTTCATACAGAAAACGAGTATATTAAGCAGTACTTGAAGACTGACTTCTGAAAGTGGTCTTTTAGCTAATTTTACATTTAAATTTCCTTTAAGAGGATTTCGCTTGAATTCGCCAACGGGGATGCCATGGGAATAAAAGTTCTCATAAGAGCACATGTTGCCAGGACTTTTCTTTCGTAAAACTAATGTGGACGTCTTGTTTGTTCTAGATTACACTGAATTTCAGATCAGCCTTGAGACATCGCTGCATACCTTGAGATTTTCAGTGTACTGCATGGATTGCATATAAACACAGACTCTGTGTTATGTGTTCACACGCTTTTGATCACTCAGAACACTGATATTTTGCCGATGATTTTCTCCTTCCATTTCTAAATTACGTATGCGCAGAAACTAGACCGCGCGACAATCAATATTTCATATATTCCAAACTGAACATGACTATTCGGTGAGAGTCGTTTTGGTGTCAAAACATGGAGTTCACCAAATGACAAAACAATGTCGGCCCCTTTAAACAACCAATTCCCCATATGCGTCATTACTGCACTTTAGGGGACGAAAACGCACAGACCTGCTAATCTGACCTTTAACAATCGATAAAACACTTGACTCTCTAAAATAACGCCTGTGACAGCAAACGGATTCCCATAGCTAGAATCAGACAAAAAATCACTTTTCAACTGTGACAACCTCTTTCTCTAGTAAAACTCTCCAGGGTAAATTCATTCCCTTTGAAAGAATAGACGTTGTCTGCAAGATCCCATGTGCCAGTTTTGATGCCGTCTATTGATGCCGAACTGGGAAATCTGTCTGAAACCCTGTAGATGAACGTCAGTTAGCGGTGATGAGGAGAGGGGGACCATCTTGCCCATGGGAGAACACTCTTATAGTTTTCATCCTTCTACCAATTAGGATGCGCTGTCAATTCCTGGAAGTAATTCAATCAACTGTGCCCTGCATCAATCGGCATCTCGGTTTAGATGCCACTCACAAATTCCTCAGGGACAAATGAAAGCCAGTGTAGCCAATGTCGAGGGCATGAAGAAATGCAATTGACGTGCAATGGCGCAAGCTTCAGCCAACTGCAGAATCACTTCTTCAACAGGGTTAAAGGGTGAACTCTTTTTGTGTGTGTCCCATAAGTCTGGCAATGAGCTGGCGAGCCTGTATCGAAAATGTGCGCGCAATAAGGGTTGTTGTGTTTCCAGATAATCTCGCCTACTGTAAACTAAGATGTTCTCATAGGCCACGTGCAGTCATCACAGACGTTGACGTTTCTCCTTCCTTGCGTGTGTATATGTTCAAGCTGAAGAAGTCAATTGAGGAAACAACAAACTTTGTTTCGGATATATTAAAACTTATTGCCCTAGGTCGTCGTTGTCGTCGTCATCGTCGTCGTCGTCGCCGTCAGACGTACAACTGGTGGGCGAGTTCGCAAAATTTTAAAACGTGACGTCCGAGAGAACCTCTCCAGACCACACGCATGCATGAATTACAGTAGGTGTACTAACAGATGAAATGTCAACGGGAATTTCGAAATGCGTTTTCGTTTCGAAAAGATTAATTAAGTAGGGTTGTAAAACTAGTTAGTCTGCAACATGATAGTTCAGTCACCTCAGGATGCCGACTTTCGAATGAAGTTCCTTCCGGTTGCAAACAAAAAATGCGCTCTGTAAAAAATGACTACTTAATTAGCATAAAATTTTCTCATTGACTTTCGATGCCCCGAATAGTCCAATTATATTTCATGGAAAACATGCACAAAAATATTCATTCTTCTGGTCATTCGGTAGATAATTACGCCTTCTTCTAATTTGATGCTCGAGGGAAAGGTACAATTCGGTTTTGAACGATAGTAAAGTCCAACAATTAGAAACTTTTTTAAAACCGAATTATACCCTTCCTTCGAGCATAAATTTAGCAGATTTGTGTCCCATATCCAGAGCATGCATGGATAATCGTGACAGATGGTCTCCCTTCCGTATCCTCCATTGATGATCATAACTGTGTGTAGTGGCAGATTTGCTAGTTTCGTCACAACATCCTGCATTGCAGACACCACAATGACTGTTGTATACGAATATTCACGCTTACCAAACTGGTCTACCCAATCTTGAGGGTGTACCAACAGCGTACATAGTGTAGTCGTCGGCTACTGGGCCACTTCTATATGATGTATCCTAGTGCCACTTTCTACACCTATCTCCGTCTATATCTACACCAGTTGGTCAAAACACACAGTGTCAAGCAGCCCCAGGGAACGTACTCATTTCAGTTAAGACGCTGTAGGAAGCCCATGTAATCAGTCCTGATGGAGCCGAATGGACCGGGAAATAGGAGGATATTGTTGGCTCCTAGGCCCTGACGAAGATAGTGGATCTGGATGGAAAGAACCTCCTCGTACGCACCAAACATGTGATTGATGTTGTGATCCCTGAGGTTAATTGGAGAGGAGCGAGGTGATGAGACGTTGCTGAAACTGCCGACGAAAGGACGCAGTAGTCGACCACAGACGAGCAGTCCTCTGCGTCCAATAATACGATTGAGCATAAACATGCAATTTCTACAATGATTCAGAGAGAAGAAAATGAAGTTAGATGTTGTCAATTGCAAACCATCGACACATATGTCACTGCATTACCTGGTGCAGCATAAATGCAGTTATGTGTGTACAATTTACCCGGAATGACCGGAGGCATCGGCCTGTAAGACTACTTAAATATGATGACAATATCAGTAAAGACATGCCCGTGATTTGCCATACTTCCATGCAGGACGCACCCCAGGGCCTTGCACACCAACTGCGGTGAGATGGATGCAAGGAGCAGTGTCACGTCGAAGAACATTATCGCCTCGTGAAGCTCCATTTTTGCTCGCGGGAATTAGTGAGGAGTGGAGATGTCGATTTTACTGACGTCCCAGATGAACCTCAAAGAAGATGTGGGGTTTGTGAGTCATCCGGCTAACTGGGCTGCCGCCGAGGGCTACGATTAGTCGACGCCCTGCCGGTTGCTTCTATTTAATGCCATTCGTCCAACCCTTACCTGCACTGAGTCAGAAGAAGACCGTTTAACTTTAACTTTAACTTTTAACTTTCACACCCACCCACCCACCCACCCACCAACCCACACACACACATACGCATGAAATGCATGTCGCCAAACTTCCCCTCCCCATGTGTGACATCCTGGTGCTTATGTTGGGGGGGTGGGAGGAATGGGTCAGGTCTCGTGTGTACAACGCCCAGACTAAGTGACTACATTTGTCAGTCACTGCGTCCACTCCCACCTGGCCAGCTCGGAGTGCGATTGAGACTGAGGAAGTAAGATAATCCTGGTCTCAGCACATATTCCTCCCTATAGCCAATCTGACGAGCTCCAAACCATCACGGTGCGCTATAAAGCCGTGGCATGGAGGGTTGACAACTGACGGGATAACTCACAGCCAACCAGGTGTTGTGCGTCTGTGCGGAGAGGCCGACTGATGGGCTGAGGGTGAGGCTGAAATGGCTCCTTGTTAACACGGCATCTATGGCACTGTCACTCCGTGGGACCCGATTCGGGTGTAGTGGGCACGCCGGGGTGCGAATTTTCGTCGTGCCAACCATCTACCGCCCTCTCCCACCTCCGGTCTTCTCGACTGTTTCATGAAAAATGGGTCCGATCAGGTGTGGCTATGCAGCTCCACCCGAAGTAAACAAACCCCAGCCATCTGTAATAGGAGACCGGTGGTAGGGTCATTACCCTTCCTTCCTTAGTTAGGTCTACTACCGTACCGAGTGTCTAACTTTCAAGCTACCTTCGACAACCTCAACGGCAGACACAGACACAATCAACTTGCCTGGACTGACAGCTCGCGGCGATTGCTTACAGGGCCTTCTTTACGCACCTCCTCGGCAGGAAAGATTGTCCAACCCAATCCGTCTTCCCTGACTTCTGATTCGGGAAAATTTGTCCTGTCGTTGATCATTGTGAACATTCGGGTCAGCCTCAAATCGCACCAGTGCTGACCTCCGACGTCCACGCTGCTAACACTTACCTTCTGGCGTATATTTACCTTCTCTGTGTTCTGTATCCTGATTTTGCCTTCAATGATGTCTCCCACGGCACCCGCAGATGCTGCTATTTCTCTCCGTGGAGTCACTGTGTCCCTTCTAGAATTTAGGCAGCAGGCCCCAGAACTCTACTTTTTCCGCATCGGGGCCACCGTTTTATCTGCCAGGACAACTCAGACTAACTGAGGTTCTTTCCCTCCCCCTCCCGCCAACCCAGCATTCTCTCAGAAGTCTAAACTTTCTTATGCGACCCTCCCACTGATGCTCCTTACACCGAGCCCCTTCGACTCGCTCCAATTTCTGATCGTCAACGCAACCACGTACTCGTATCAGAAGAAGAAGAAGAAGAAGAAGAAGAAGAAGAAGAGGCGGAAGGTATGGGCGACCGCAAGCCCTCTGAACTTCTCCGCCTCAAAGCCCATAAAGGCTTACCTAATGACTTGCAATGTAGACATGAACGACTTGACCGCCTTCGCGCAGTTCAGTATTGGCTAGAATGAGGATGTGATCCACACACCCAAGTACTTCTGACTGTCAACCTGCAGCAATGGTGTACCGTTTAGAAAGTAATTCCTGAGCTTTGAGTCCCTGTAGCTGCCGACTTGAAGAAAGTTGTAATTACTTACGTTGGAGGGCATAAGTCAGCGCTTCGACCAGTCCCCGAGCCTGCTCAATATGTGGGGTCAAGGATGTAACATCAACTATAATCACACACAATATGTTCGTTCTGTCTAATGTCAGAAGTCGAGAGATAGTGAGAACTGGCTTATTCTGCACACAGGCCATATTGCCGTGAGTTGGCTTTTTTCTTGTGGTCAGAGGAAAGCGTCGGCTCAGGAGAGCGGAAGTCGTGATATGAGGGTTTTTGCGTGGACGTCACATGTCCGTGTCAGTATGAGGGAATGTGTAGGTGAGTGCAGGACATGTGATTGAATGGTTAAGGGGCGGAGTCGGAGGTGCATGATGAGACGGGCGCGCACGGGTAACCAGCGGGGAGGTTCGAAGCGAGTGAGAAACTGTGTGCGCAGACGTGATCCATTGACGGTGAGAAAGAGGCGGCCCAGCACAGGCCCGAGGGATTGCCGTGTGTCAGCGGTAAAATGGGGGGGGGAGAGGGGACACTGGAGCGGATGCCACAGAACAGAGCCCTCTGAAGATCGGGCATGTACATATTTATATTGCATCCAAATTTAAATAATGCTACAGGTCAAGGCATCTTGTCTCTCTGAAAAAATTTCACATATACCCACATTTATACGGTACCAGATAGCGCAGAGACATTTGTGCTGGCATTTTGCAATCTTAAAAAATCGAACTGCATATTCTCTTACCAGAATCATTGCAGAAAGTGCATGTTTACGCCCAATCGACTGGGTGGACGCAGAGGACTGCTCGTCTGTAGTCGACTACTGCGCCAGTGGACGCAGAGGACTGCTCGTCTGTAGTCGACTACTGCGCCATCTCGTCAACAGTTTCAGCAACGACACATCTCCTCCCTCCTTTACAATTGGCCTCAGGAATCACCACATCAACCACATGTTTAGTGCCTAAGAGGAGGTTCTTTCCACCAGGATCCGCTTTCTGCGCCAGTCGCCCAGGATCCAACAATATTCTCCTCTTTCCCGCCATCCTCGTCTCTTTCATGAATGATTACGATGCTTGTCTTCCATGGGGCTTGGTGTTGTGTCTTCTTACGAATTGGACGTGCCGTCACACCCCAAATGCTGCATGTCTTATGAGGTGAGCATCGTCAATAAGGCCTGCCAGACTCCGATCTAGTTCCCCGTGGCTATGCAGCATATCCATTGCGTGGTCTGCCTTAGGGGCAAATGTCGCGGAGATAGTGCTGCATGACAGTACCGTGTAACCGATAGAGTACCATCCCCCTCTCAGACCATGAGCACGTGTGCGTCAAGTATGCACGGCTGAAGTTTCAGAGAACTGCCTGCCTCCCTCCCCCCAGTCTACTGACTAACAAGGTATGTCTGTCCACCCTCTCCCTCCCGCCCCTTTATGTTTACCGCGACAGGCTTTGATCCACTGGGTTACGGTTCCAGCACTCCCCCGTCCGCGACTAGGGTGATCCCCAGATCCTG